CGGCTGGGCCCGGGGCGGCCTCCGGTCCGCACCCCGCTGCACTCACCCAGTCGGGCTCCCCAGACCTGCTTCCTCACCAGCGGGGCCTTTCGGGGAGCTGATGCTCGAGAGGGCGATCGGGGCGAGTCCCCAAGATAAAGGGCTCTTGGCAGGTGCTGGGACGTTCCTGCTGCCCTGCCATGGGGTCTGCCTGCCACAAGCAGCTGGGACCCTGGCTGGGGGGGATGCCCCCACCTAACTCAACAAGACAGGAAGGGCTGTGTATCTGCGAGCAGGGTTAGAGTGTCGCAGAAATGTACTGGCTTAGAGAACTATCTCGAACGCCCAGAGGCGCAGCTCCTGGCTCGGGCCCCGTCTAAACCAGACGGGCGGAGAGGCCTCTCACCTTCTGCCACCAGAAGAGTGCTTTTGATCTGGAGCTGGTTAGGCTCAGCCTGGGACTTTCAGATTCAGAGAACAAACAGGCAGACGCAAGCACACACACAAAACTCCTCCGTGCACCCGTTCGACTCTCAGCTAGGCGGTGGGGAGCCCCGTGACCGGGCGCAGACTCTTCCAGGAGCAATTCCTGGCAGCGCTGCCAGAAAGAACTCCAGCTCACCCCCAGGACCCCCAGTCCAGGGAGCCAGTGGGACCCCCGCCCCTGCCAATCACTTACCTGGGAGTCCCACTGCTGTCCCAGAGTCGCCACCAGGATTTGAAACCGGGGCCGAGTTCAGCCGCCTGTCACTACCAGAGTAAATAAGTAGATATAAGGTTGAATCTTTGAGGTGTTTTAATTCAGATGCTGGCGACTCGAGAGAGCAGCAGGTGTAATACTGTCCCCCAAAACCGCTCTCCCACCTCCCTCATCTCAAGCCAGCTGTTACGTAGGGTTAGAGGTTTAAGAAAGAATCTAAAACTAGGTGAGGTTCCAGGGTCTGTTTTCTATCACTGTCCTTATAAAGATTGGCCCCCAGGTGTCTGTCTCCTTTCAGGCAGGTCCTGTCCTTGATTTGCTTTCAAAATGCCTCTTCTGCCCAGCCAGTATGGCTCAGGGGTTGGCATCGACCCATGAACCAGGAGGTCACAGTTCAATTCCAGGTCAGGGCACAGGCCCGGGTTGCAGGCTTGATCCCCAGTTGGGGGCGTGCAGGAGGCCGCCGATCGATGACTCTCTCATCACTGATGTTTCTCTCTCTCTCCCTCTCCCTTCCTCTCTCTGAAATCAATTTAAAAAAAAAAAAAAATCACTCGTCTTTCTGAGTGATGGGCTCATCTTTATGATTCTGTTTTTCTTCTTACAACACAGCCTCCAGTTTCCCCGGGTCTGTAAGAAAAATCTCTTATCTGTACTTAGTGCAGTGAATAGCTATTAATCAACTGTGTTTCTATTCTTACTGCATTCCCTTCCCCTATCAGAATTAAAGTCCTTATTTAATTAACCAATGCTTTGGAACGTGAATTGGCTCCACAGGGCACAAGCAGATCTGTCCTTCCCCAGCCCGGTTCCCATGGTGACACCTGATGGATGCATAGCCATGCATCTGGCAATGCTAAATTTCTTGATGTCAGTGTCATGATATTTTTTTTAGCACACATTCAGTTATTTAGTGCTTTCTAGCATCATGCTGGGCCTTCAGCCTTTCAAACACTCAATTGGTTTCTACTCATTACGTCCAAAGAACTCATTCCCTCCTCACTTTGGATTTCTGATCAAATATTACCTTCTCAGACCCACACCGCCCTATGTGAAACGGATTCCAGTCCTCCCCTGCCTCTCCAATTCTAGTTTCCTGCTCTTCAAAGGACACGTCTCCATACTATCTGTCCAGTGGTTACTGTTTGCCTCCCGGTTAGATTGCAAGTGTTGGAAGAGCCCTCTCGTTTTGCTCAGGGCTATATCCTAAGAACAGACAACAGTGACCAGGAGCTAGGAGTCGCTCGATAAATATTTGTTTAATACATGAGTAAATGGGAAAACGACGTTCTGTGAAGATGTGAACAGTCCTATTTCAGACATGTTCCCGTTGAGGAGCTTGGAAACATGGGTTAAAAACAGAGAAAGAGTTCGAGGCTACCCGCCTGCGTGTGAAAAGTGACGCGAAGTGGAACTGGTGGGGTAGATGAGTTCCTTTAGGTAAAGAAAAGCTGCCAAGAAAGAAGGAAATGGGTCTGAGTGGAGAATCTCATAGAACCCTTGATTTTTGTTTTTTTTTAGGGGGTCTAGAAGAGAATTCAGTTAAAGTTACGGGGAATAGGCCGTCAGAGAAATAAATGAACCCAAAGCAAAAGATGCTCAGTCAGGCCCAGAATTACAGCGAGGACCAGGCAGGTGGGGAGAGGTGCATCGCAGGTTATCAGCAGCCCGATGACCTCGGGGAAACCGGCTGTGAAACGGCGCAGAAGCCGGGTCTCGGGACCGTGAGGAACGGGGAAAGGTGGAGAGTCCAGATTCTCTTTGTCACCTGAGCCCCAAGGATACCTGGAATTTTTGATAAATAAATAAGTGCATAGATGAATAAATGGATAGTTTTCTCCCCCGAGTCAAGATGGCACATACATTTTGGGGGGGTCACGGGTTAAATGGCAAACAAAACGCCCTTTTCAATAGCGTAGGTAGTGTAAAAAGACTTCCCTAATCGAGATCAACTTACTGAGCCGTTTTCCTCAGTTAGCTCCGGTTTACTTCTGTCACTCACTTTTAATGAGTTCCTGTGACTCATTTTTACGTTTGCTTTGCGTTTCAGTTTACAGTGCGTTCTCAGCTAATGGGGCTTTTGGAGAGCTCCTCGAGGCCCGGCTCCTCTCGGTGGGAACTGGCTCCTGCGCTCCTTGGAGCTGAGGGCCTCTCGGCTGCGCTCCATTGGCTCAGCTTCCCCGGTGTGCCGGAGCAGCTCCGGTGCAGACGGGAGTGCGTCCTAGAATGAACTAATAAAAGGCCAGTTTAGGAAGGTAACATGATAATATATGGAACATGAGAATTCACTCAGCTTCCTACCGGAAGATCCACCACATAGTTTATGAATAAATGTTTTTCTGGCGGGGTTTAAATGTAAAGTGATGATTAAATTTCTCGCTTTTCTGAACACACAGCAGAGCGTATCAAAACTGCCTCGAGGATTTCTTTAATTTGCTTTCTTTTTTTTTTTATTCTCACTCAAGGATATATTTTTCATTGCTTTTCAGAGAGGGTGGAAGGGGGAGAGAGAGAGAGAAAGAGAAATATCAATGTGAGGGAGACACACCGACTGGTTGCCTCCTGCCTCCCAACGGGGGCCTTGGCCGGAATCGAACCTACGGCCCTTCAGTCCGCCGGCTGACGCTCTAACCACTGAGCCGAAACAGCTAGGAAACCCGGAGGATTTGTTGAAACGGGCTGCTGGGCCCTGCCCCGGTTCCGATTCAGGAGCCTGGGGTGGGGCAGGACGGTTTGCATTTCTAACAATTTCTCAAGTGATCTGGATGCTGCTGGACACACTTGCAAAAACCACTGGTCTATGCAATCCATACCACGTTTTTATAACTTCTTTCTCTACTTCTTTGTTTTCCTTCAAGGAAAAAGAGCCAAGAACAACAAAATAAAGTGGTTAGGAATGACCAAACCAGGATTTCCAGCCTTTTACTCATTTTTAAACAGAATGAAGGTTTTATCTTAAGTCCATAAGATGTTAGTGCCTTTTAAGAAATAAGAGCTCAGCTGGGTTATACAGATGTGATGCAATGGTCTCACACTAAAAAGTGACTCTCTTTCAACTACAAACTGCGTCTCCATCAAAGTCTCTTCATACTAGAAAAGGCAGGGGTTGGACATGCGATGACAGGCAAAAATAAGACTCACTAGTCACACAGATCTTAATCATTCCATTTATTATTTTGTTTTCAAGCCAAAGAAGAAAGAGCTCACCTCGAGTCTAAATAATCTAGGAAGGTTGTAACGCCTACAGTGGGATATTTGCAAGGAATTGTTTTTCTTCCTCTAGCTTAATGTGTTGACGACGAAGAGACGCAGCCTGATCTCACGAGGGCGTGATCGGACTGTGCGCAGAGCTGGCAGCCCGTCACGCGAGGCTCTGAGTGAGTCTCACCTGCTCTGCACCTGAGCGATTCCAAACCAGTTAGGGTCGCGCTGATTGAAGCATTTGTAAGAACAAATGAATACGGGAAGAGGCAACAGCTGTAGGTTTTTGCTTGTCTTCCAGCTCTAAAAGGTAAAGATTAGAAAGAAAGTTAAGACATTGCTCAATAAATAGTTTAGAATAAAATAAATACCAGTTTTCTCAGAGATTTCATAACACTGATTTCTAAAGGACACACTATTCTATTTATGCTCGATCCGCTATTGCTCTGAGCCGCTCTCCCTTCCCCCACGGAGCTGTGCCCGGCGGGGGTATCTAGGACTTCGCAGAGGCGAACAGTCCCCTTTTGGGGGGCTGGGGGGGTGTCCCAGCCTGCAGGAGGGGAGATGGGCTCTCCCTCGCCTTCCTGGCACCGGCTGGCTGAACTGACAGAGCTGGACCGGCCTCCCCTCAATACAGTCACAAGGCCCAGCCCTTGCTGCTCTTTCTCCCCAGTAGAAGACTTCCCTGGGGAATTAAGTCTGAAAATCCCAGCTCTGGGCAGTGCCACGGGTCCAAGGACCAAGCAGGAGGGGGTATGAGATCAGCCCTGCACAGGACTCACATTCTCTCCCCATCTCTTCGCTCTGGTCTCAGCAAAGTGGGGGCCGAGATGCGCAGCTCGGCTCCTGCTCTCAGCTCTCCATGCTGCAGGCCCCAAGCCCCCATCTGCCTGCTCCTGGCACTGCCAGAGGCTCCTGACGCACCCTGTAGCCCAGGGCAGCTGAACCGCGCCTGCAGGGACCTGCAGGCTGCACCCAGCCCAGCCTGCAGCAGGCCGCCTCAGGGGGAACCAGACTGGGGTCTCCCATAGAGACCGAGGCGCTTGGCCTCGGAGCAGAGACTGGTTTCCCCTCGCTGAGCGCCCAGCGTCATCTCCAGCCAGGGGGCTGGCCTGGGTCCACCCCAAGGACTCTTCAGAGGGCGCTGGAGGGAGACCAGGCAGCCTCAGGGCCAGGCAGGGGAGCCGACAGGTGAGCCAGGCCTCAGGGAGGAGAAAACATCCCATTATCCTAGAAGTCAAGTTTTATGCACAAATCTAGGTCGCGTGGGTCGCTTACCTGCGGTGGAGAAACGAACTGCACACAGTCCATCCACACGGTTAGAAAGGGCTCCCCGCAGACGGCGCAGCGCCCCGCCCCGGCCAGCGCGCCCCGGGCCCGCGGGGAGCGCGCCAGGGCTTCCGTCAGGAGGGGGTTCTGCTCCGCCAGCTGGGCCAGTATGAATCTCGATGTTATTTCCTACATTAGAAACATATGGTTCCTCGAGAGAATTTTCAGAATCATTGCAGTAAACAAGGACTGTACAAGTATTCAGACTCAACTTGAAAACTGAGTCTCTCCTATTTACTCATGTCTAAATTCTTACTAAAATTGTGCATCGTGGACCAGTAGAATGTGCATCACCTGGAAGCATATTAAAACTCCACACTCTGAGATGCACTCCAGGCCTGTGAATCAGAATCGGCAATGAACAGGCTTCCCCAGATAAGCCCTTTGCACGTCAGAGTTCTGGAAGCATTAGTTTAAGTCACCCACTGCACTGAGTGCCTGACCAGAGCCACACTGGGCAAGAAGACAGACTTCTATTAACCACATCTCTGAATGCGCTCTGTAGTAACCCTGTCTGCACAGGTATGTCCAGAAACTTCACGTAAGGTACCAATAATACTAGAATATTAAATAATGAAACAGGTGGTGAGGAAATATATATAAGCTGATTTCCATCATGACTATCAACTGCGGCTTAGGATGGCTTCCTATTTCCGATACTTACTAGCTCTGTAAACCTGGATGAGTTATTAACCTTCTGGGACTGTTTATCCATACAAGGAGGGCAAGAATGGTACCTGCCTTTTTAGGGTCATTGGATGATTACATCAATTCATGTCCATTAAGTGCTTAGGACAATGCCTTGCTCAGAGTAAGCTTAAGCGTTAGTTTTTATTATTATTATGAAATAATTTAAGAAGAACAAATAGGTTATAAGAGATTAAACAAATTAATCCCTGTAGTTTTTTAAATTATTTTCATTTAAATTTCAAATAAGGTTTTTTTCATACAGGAGTAGAAAATAATACTGTTTATGGAAATATAAACTGACTCTCTGGAAGGGAATTTGAAAAGAGCTAGCCAAACTAAAAGACAGCAATTCTTTAACCAAGCAATTGCACTTGTGAGGGTAATATGGATGTAAGAAATTTGCTATTAGGACGGTCACTGTAGCTGTGTCTGTAAAGGCTGAAAAGCCAGAAAATTATTAATAATCTAAACAGCCAACAGGAGGAAAGTAGTTAAAAATATTACGGTGTAATATACAAGAATATTATGTATTCATCAAAAAAGAGATCATAGATTTATGACTGGAAAATCAGTACTTTGAGGGGGAAAAAACAAGTGTCTGAATAGTATGTGGAGTCTAAACTCATCTTTAAAAAAACAAACTTCTGGGTGGAAAGTACTAGCATAATAAATGTCAGAGAGGGTAGCAGTAATATCTCTGCGTACCAGATTTGTAAGTATTTTTATCAACTTGGTTTTTTTTTTAATTTCTCTAGATGAGCTTGTATTAGTTTTGTAATAAACTCTTTTAATCAGTATGTCATTAAACTAATTTCAGTTTTCTTCCTTGCTCATCTGTATTTCCTAGTTCTCTATATTAAACATACAGGGTGTCCTCAAAAATGTATACACACTTTGAATAATTGCAAAGGCAGTGTTTGTTAAAATACACTTCATTTTCAAAATGTAATAGAATCTACAAACATTATGTATATACATTTTTTGGAACACCTGTATATAAGCTATGCAATAAGGGAAAATGTTATTTATTAGGAAAAAACAAGATTAGTTGTGTCCTGCATCCAGGAAACTTGAATCCTATACAACTCTTGAAAGTCTTAAGACAATCCTGCATGTTCGCTTTTAGACTTAAAAGGGCCTGAGATGTTCGAATGTGTGATGGAGACACACCCAAATGTTGGAAGATCTGCAACCTTTAACTCATCTATCCCCAAANGCTTTTAGACTTAAAAGGGCCTGAGATGTTCGAATGTGTGATGGAGACTCACACCCAAATGTTGGAAGATCTGCAACCTTTAACTCATCTATCCCCAAAGAAAACACAGAGAGTCCTCTAACCCGCCTCCCTGTTCCTTCTCGTAATATCACCAACTTATTTGACTAAAGTGGACATGATTCCTGGACCATTTTCATTCATCCACTAAGACTGGGGTCAAGAGAAAGGTAGTAGGAGAGGCAAGGACCCCAGCAAAGAACAAATCGAATGCACTCGTGGACGATACAGAAAGATACTCGGAAGGGGAAAGTAAAAACAAGTCACTCTCTTCATGCCACAAAATGGTTCCATTTCTCTGAACTGAGTCACTCTGGAAATCAGACAGGATGACATTCGATTCTACAAGCAAGTCAAGAGATTGTGTCTAGGTTTCACGCTGCCAGCAGACTGGGGTGACATCAGTCGTCTGCTGATTTGGCTGCACTACTTTAGAAGAAACGTCTTGAACACAAACCAGGCCTTAACCTGGAGACCTGTGAGTGAGCTGAGGCTTTACCTGCAGACTCCAGACGATGTTTTGTTTTACAGCTTGAACGGGCTGCTTCAAAAACAGTGGGTTCCCCTCACAGTAGAATTCCTTCAGCTTCAGATCTTGAAACTTGCAAAACAGAACAAAAACTGCGTTTTACAACAGAATAGCAGACTTTGCTCCTGAGGCTACATCTTCAGGAAAATCAGATCTAGAAGGCTTTGTTTAGGCCTCACATTCCAGTGAGTATTTTAACAGCAAGACATACTCCGGTTGTTAGAGGCAGAAGGCTCTGCGTGCCGCCATGAATGGCAGTGACGTTAGAGGTCACCGTTGACACCCCTTCCACTACACAGCCGAGAAAACTCTTAAAGAGCATAGAACGTTCGCCTTCCTAGACTTGCCCACTTGTTTACACCATCTGAGTTAGTCACTGAAGGGAAACCATCTCTTTCTACCAATGGACCATGACCTGCCCTGTCCAAGCAGAGCTGTACAGTGAGGATGCCTTATATACATAAACCAGATCTACTTAAGAACTTGGGCAGAAACTTTTGCTATAAATGACAGCCTCCCCTTTGTCTCGGCAGAACACAATTTAGGTTGCTGCCTGAATTTGTATCTACCAGCTGCAGTTCCTTTTTGCTCAAATAAATGCCTTTTATTCTTTGTGACAGTCTAAAATTAGTTTTGTTTATATACCTTAACCAAAGAAAATTACTCAAGACACATAGCAGCTAAAAAAAAAGTAACAAAACCCAAGATTTTGGAGAATACATTTATTTTGCTTGTCAAAATGCAAAGAATAAAAATTAGAGCACCCGCTACCTCAGTGCAAACAAGATTAGGGCAATTTGTTTTTAACCAAATTTGCAATATCATCAAATAGCCTGAAAGTTATTCTTACTCTATGTTAATTCAATTAATAGGAAATTCATCCAAAATAAATATTCAAAATAGAAACAATTATTTGTGCATAATATGTGTTCCTCAGAATTATTTAAAATTAAAATCCTTTCCTATATTAAAAAATGTACAGTAGATTATATGCCTACCTGAATCCTCTGGTCCTCTGCCTTTTCACTCCCTGTGTCTAATGAAACCTAACCATGGGTTATTGGTGCCACCAGCTTTTCCTGTCACTGCACCCAAGCAAATAAGTACTGTTTGCAGAGTCACACCTCAGGGCAGAGAGAAATCACAACAAATTCATAATCACCAATTTCTAATATGCCCTCAGTGGCTGCCAGAAATTCTACTCCAGTCAACATTCTGGTCAACATAACTACATTTTCTTCGCTGGTTCATCATTCTTTGCCCAGCCTTCATATGGTTTACTCCATCATCTCTTTTCACTTTATTTTCCATAGGCAATTTTACCCATGTGCATGACATCAATGAAATCTCTATGCCAGTGACTCTGGTCCCATACCCAATAGTCAACTAAGTAGTGATGTTGAGCATCTTTCATGTCTCTTGGCATCTGTATGTCCTCATTGCACAAGTGTCTATACAGGACCTTTGTCCATTTTTTAATTTGGTGGTTTGTCTTTTGTTGAGTTGTATGAGTTCTTTATATAGTTTGGAAATTAACCCCTTATCAGATGTATCATTGGCGAATATATACTCCTATACTGTGGGTTCCCTTTTCATTTTTGTGATAGTTTCTATTGCTGTGAAGAAGCTTTTTAGTTTGATGTAGTCTCATTTGTATATTTTTTCCTTTGTTTCTCTTGCCCCAGGAGACATATGGGTGAAAATTCTGCTAGATGAGATGTCTGAGATTTAAGTCTTTTATCCAGTTTTGAATTCATTCTTGTGTATAGTGTAAGTTGGTGGTCTAATTTCATTTTTTTATATGCATCTGTCCAATTTTCCCAGCACCATTTTTTAAAGAGACTGTCTTTATTCCATTGTATGCTCTTGCCTCCTTTGTCAAATATTAATTAAACATGATGACTTAGGTCTATTTCTGGGTTTTCTATTCAGTTTCATTGATCTATATGCCTGTTCTTGTGCCAGTCTGAGGCTGTATGATTACAGTGGCTTTGTAGTATACTTCGATATCCTGTATTATAATCCCTCTAACTTTATTCTTCTTTCTCAAGATTGCTGCTACTATTGGTTCCATATAAATTTTTGGAATATTTTTTCTAGAGTTGTGAAATGTGCTAATGGTATTTTAATAGGAATTGCATTGAACCTAAAGACTACTGTGGATAATATGGACATTTTAATAACATTGAATCTTCCAATCCATGGACATGGTATATGCTTCCACTTGTTTGTATCTTTCTCTATTTCTTTGAGTCATTTGTATAATTCAAGGTTCTAACTACTACAGGTTATACTGGCTGTCCATATTTTCCTAATCCCAGTAGCATAAACAAAATTATTTTTCAATTATAATAGAAGTTGACTCTACTTACACCTGGTGGAAATATCTGAATGACATTTCCAGCTATGTCTAGGATTCTTAGATTTCTAAGATCACAAAATTCCTGTGTAAGAAAACAAAAGAGAGAGAAATTTTTAAGAATCTGTAAAATATGTAGAATCATAAATATTTCTTCTCTAAGTTTGAACTTAATGGTATTGACCATCTTTCCTAATTACCTGATCGATTCTTTAGTACATCTTCCCCAAGGAGATCACTGTATCCTGGATTGTCAGAGTCTTTGAATTTTCCATTTCCTCTGACCACTCCAGGGCAGCATAACATGGTGGCCAAGACTTAAGCTATTTGTAGGTTCAAATCTCACTTCTGACACTTACTGTGGGTAAACTTCTTAATCTCTTTGTACTTGAATTTCTTCATTTGTAAGATGGAATTGCTAATGCCAGCCTCTACTTCATGATTGTTGAATGGATTAAATAAGTTACTAAGTGCGTACTAAAGGGCCCAATACATAGTGAGCAATAGGTAGACATTACTATCATTAAAATGGAAAAAAACCTTTGAGAAACAGAAAACAGATGTAATCTTAGAAAGTTGTCTCTATTGACAATTCCACCATCATTTATTTCTTATCTCCCCTTTGTGCTAAAAGAACCCTTTCCTGTACAGTAAAGAAAAATCTGTTAGGGTCTGGACATGAAGAAAAAAATGAAAGCTATCTAGCATATATTCAAAAACCAGTATGTCCTTATATTTTGTGTAGTATATAGGGTTGCCAGATGAAATATAGATGGCTCACTTAAATTAAAATTTCAAACAAGCAATGAATTTTTAGTATTATTATGTCCCATGCAATATTTAGAACACATTGATACTAAAAAATTATTCATTGCTTATCTGAAATTCAAATTGAAGTGGGTATCCTGTATTTGTACTTACTAAACCTTGCATCCTTAGCTATGTGAAATAAACCAAGCTATAACCGTCCTTTGTCACAGGAATTTGGGAACTGACTACATCTAATCACAGGGAAAGCAAATGATGGTTTGTACTCAGATACCCAAATCTGTTCTATAGCCCCTACCAATTGTGTTGTAATGAGAGTTCTTCCCAAACAAAAGAAAATGGTGCTCCATGTTTTGCTTACCTCTGGCAAAACTTCAATGTTGTTCCTGGCCACAAGAAGCTTCCGGAGCATCTTCAAGAACTTAATCTCTTTGGGTATGCAAATGAGCTGATTGTAGTTAAGGTGAAGTTCAGAAAGCTTCCTTAGAAAGCAAAGTTCTCTAGGAATACTGGCTAGCTGGTTATGATTTATACTCAAATATCTAAGGCTTTTTAATCTAAAAAATAAACAAAGTACATGAATGAAACTCACAAAAATAAGCAAACCTATTGAACAGACACCATTTGTCAGAAGCCATGTGTCAATCAATCTTTTTATAGCTCATTTGAGCTTTGTTTCAGTCAACTGTTCACAACTACTGTGAATAATTTGAGCATAAAAAATCTTTGTTGTACCCCAGCTGGCATGACTCAGTGGTTGAGCATCTACCTACGAACCAGGAGGTCACGGTTCAGGGCACACGCCCGGGTTTCGGGCTCGATCCCCAGTAGGGGGCGTGCAGGAGGCAGCCGGTCAATGACTCTCTCATCATTGATGTTTCTCTCTCTCTCTCTCCCTCTCCCTTCCTCTCTCTGAAATCAACAAAGACATACTTTTTAAAAACAATCTTTGTTGTAATCAAACATTTGAAGATAATTTATAGTCAGATGGTTTACATTAAAATTATTTTATGTAATTAAAACCTAGATTTTAAAGAAAGAAAATTCGATTTTCTCTTTGTGTGTATACATATTGAAGGGGAAGCCAGGAAACAAGGGAGGGCATAGACACGCACACATGCACGGATACCTGCGAACACATGCGTGGATACAGGCACAGGTGTAGGTGGATAGTTACAGGTTATATAGCCTGTGCCAAACATTTGTGAGACCACTTAGTTCCTGTGGAAGATGCACGGATAGGTCAGACACAAACTCTGCCTTTATTTATATATCATGGTCTAGAAGGAAATATTACATAGATGCCACAGACGGGAAATCCGCCCACCCCAGCCCCCTGTGGCCCACGGGGCAGCAAGCTGACTGGAAGCGAAGCGAAGCGAAGCGAAAAGAAAAGATCCAGCCTAAGGGGTTTGTAACCATTGCTGACAAGCCAGGAGGTGGAGCGGAACTGGGGTCCGGGAACTGGCTGCCCCCCAACCATCCCGGTCCCCCTGTGGTGCATCCTAGTGGGAGCAGCTGAGTCAGTTGGGGCAGCTCTGCCAGCAGCTTCTTCCTACAGGAGAGCAGCACACGGAGCACACAGAGGACCCACAGTCTGCCCCGTCCAATCCACGGGAGTGGTTCCCTGAGTCGGGATGACAGGCACCTGGAGGGGATGCCCACCTATGGGGCACAGGAGAGTTTTGCACAGTTTAGGGGACACTGCCCCACACAGAGCTAGGCAACCCCTGCAATACAGGTAAGAGAAAATAAAACTGCCCCTTCAGCGCCACCCACTGGAAAACAAAAAAAGACCTCTGCTTATCAACTAAAACTTTTAAAAAGCAGCTTACATTTACACATGAGGAGCAGAGAATTAACCCATCAAACACTGAACAACCAAAATAACAAAGGAATTCCGAAAGGAAATAAAAAATCTCCAGAAAACAATCTCAAAGACATGGAAATATGTGATTTTAGATGACAGAGTATTCAAGACTGCGGTTCTGAAAAATTCAGCAAGATACAAGAAAACACAGAAAGGCAACCTGACAAACTCAGAAATAAAATCAGCGAACAAAAGGAGTACTTTAGTCAAGAGATAAGAACTACAGAGAAAGAGCAAAACAAGCCCTGGCACTGGCTCACCCCAGTCCTTCAGAGCCCCCCAAGCTCCAGAGAAATCCCACAGGGACTGAAGCTGGGCCTACGGTTTCCAGATGGCTCAGGGGGCTGCAGGGGCTGAGGGTGGGCACTTAGCTATCACTATAAACCAAATTACCTGCCGATTTCTTCAGGAATCCGTGTGAGCTGATTATTGTTCAGGTTAAGTAGGGTCAAATTTTGCAGGCCATCTGTTAGAAAATAATTGGAGTCGCTTTAGCTGTATGTTAGAAAAGAACCTGTGGCCCCTTTGGGAAAAGCGCCTCTTCCCTGCAGACGAGGAGGGGCCGCGCCCAGGGTGGCGAGGGGGGAACGCCTGGCTCCCCGCAAGGCTGCTCCCCGGGGCGGCGCCTCCAGCTGCGGGTGGCTTCGGGCCTGGCCTGTTCCCGCGCCGGGGACACCTTCTCGCCGCCAGGCTCCTTCCCGCGGGGCTTCTCTTTAGACTCCCCGCGGGCAGCACTCGGCCACGCGTGCCCGCTTCCCCCGCTGGGCCTGTCCCCGCTGCTGCTCACACAGGCCCGCAGCGGTGGCGGTGACCCAAAAGCATAGGGACGTGTTTTACTATATACACAAACCCTATGTGCAGGGTGTTATGCAATGACAGGCCCTTGTCTGTGTATTGGCTCAATGTGTGGCTGCTCTGGGTGGTCACGAAAATGCTCATGGTTCGGTCTCCTGGGCTTTGGATGCTTTTTTTATTTTATTACATTTATTGGGGTGACAGTGATCAATAGGAACACATAGGTTTCAGGTGTGGGTTTCTGTGTTACATGATCTGTATATTGCTGTGTGCCCACCACCAAAGTCCTATCTTCCCCCCCCGCCCTGTAGTAAGACCCCTTC